TTATATATATCCCCTGCCCCCTGGGACTGGGGATTGAACTCAGGCCCTTGCGCTTGCCAGGGAAGCGCTTATTCTACTGAGCTATCTCCCCGGCCCCAAGATTATAATTTTTTTTTTTTTTTTTTCCAGAACCAGGTGAACTCAGGCCCTTGTGTTTGCCAAGGAAGCGTTTATTCCACTGAGCCATCTCCCCGGCCCCAAGATTATAATTTTTAAGACGCCATTGCATGCCTATATTGCCAGCTACTCTATAGTCTGAGGTAGGAGCATCAAAAGCTGGACTACGTGGCAATACCATTAAAAAAAAAAAAAAAAAAAAAAAATTATGACAAATTCCAGGTCTTATTTGAAAATACCACATGAAGAATGCTAAATAAAAAATAAAAACCAAGCACAAGGGTCCACACCTGTAATCCCAGCTGCTCAAGTTGAGGGAGGAAAATTCCAGGTTGAAGACTAACTTGGGTAATGGAGTGAGACTCTCAACATTTAAAAAAGGCTGAGGAGGGCTGGTGAGATGGCTCAGTAGTCTAAAGCACCTACTTAGAACAAGCTTGGCAAAGCTCAGGGACCATGGTTCAATCCCCCAGCACCACATGCCAGCCAGCCCCGCCCCCTGGTGGGCTGAGCTGGCCACACACACACACACACATAAATAAATTAAAAAATAAAATAAAAAAGGCTGAGGAGACTGGGAGTGGTGGTATGTGCCTGTAATCCCAGCTCTAGGGAGACTGTAAACAGATGGATCACTACATGTCCAAACTAGTAGTGAGACCCTGAACACCCTTCCCTAAAATACAAAAAAAGAGGTGCAGGGATTGAGGGTTCAATCCCCAGGCCTGCCCTGCCGGCCCTGCGGTGCGCTGAGACAGCAATGGAGACTGGGCATAGTGGCACGCGCCTGTAATCCCAGCTCTTGGGAGGCTGTAAACAAGGCGGGCTACTACAAGTCCGATCTAATGATGAGACCCTGAACACCCTGTAGACCCTTCCCTAAAATACAAAAAAGAAAGCAAGCAAGCTCAGCCTTTTTACTTAAACCTGAAAATAACCAGGCACAGCAGCCAGTGCCTGTTCATGCTAGTGCTCAGAATGAAGCAGGAGGGGCTGGTGAGATGGCTCAGTGGTCTAAAGCACCTACTTAGAACAAGCTTAGCAAAGCACAGGGACCACGGTTCAATCCCCCAGAACCACATGCCAGCCAGCCCCGCCCCCTGGTGGGCTGAGCTGGCCACACACACATACACACAATTAAATAAATAAATTTTCTAAAAAAGAATGAAGCAGGAGGATCAAGAATGACAAGTGGGGGCTGGAGAAATGGCTCAGTGGTCTAAAGCACCTACTTGAAACAAGCTTGGCAAAGCACAGGGACCGCGGTTCGATCCCCAGCACCACATGCCAGCCAGACCCGCCCCCTGGTGGGCTGAGCTGGCCACACACACACAATAAATAAATGTAATAAATAAAAATAAATATTTAAAAAAAAAGAATGACAAGTGGCAGTATGTAAGATCTTGTCTCAAAAATAACCCCCCCAAAAAATAAACCCCTAAATACCTTTTATGTACTATCCCTTTCCCCAAGATTTTAGACATGTAACAACACATTTGTGATTCAGATTCAACAACTAATCAGGTTAACTGTTTAATTTTTGAGTAAATTTCTTAACTCAGGAGTATAGGGCCGGGGAGATGGCTCAGTGGAATAAGCGCTTCCCTGGCAAGCGCAAGGACCTGAGTTCAATCCCCGGTTCCGCAAAAAAAAAAAAAAGTATAAATAATGCAGTTAGTAATTGTGGGTACTTCTCAGTAATGATGGGGTTACGATCTGATAAACCCACTGAGATTGAAAATGCATTTAATATACTTCCATCTACCAAACCCCTCAGCTTCGTAATAGAGTGCACATTAGTTGTTTAGCTGGGAGCCATGGATCACTTCTGTTGCCCAGCGTCACAAGCAAGGATCCTACTTTGTATCGATAGCCCAGAAAGAAATCAAAATTTGAAGTCCAGCTTCTACTTAATACTAAACATTTTTTAAATACAGCAGCAGTCTTTTAATTATTCTTTTGTATGCAGCAGCGAAATATTTCCATCAGCATACTCTACAAAAGGACTTCTGCACCCTATGGGTCATGATTCAACAGTAAACATCTTTAACACCACAGTAAAACTGATAATAAATCAAGCCACTGTAACTCAGAAACCTGTTCCTTCCACTTTAATGTATTATGAAAATTTACCGAATCTTCCACATTTATAAAAGCATCATGTGAAGTGTGTCATTTTTGTCTTTTATAAGCACAGCCAACCCCTACTTGAGAGTAGAGAAAATACATTCTAATTCAGTACTTATTGGCAGCTGTAAATAAAACTGTCCATGGAAGGAGACGATGAGGTCACCGGTAGAGGTGTTATGCCTTGAGAAAAAATGAAGCATATGGGAAGACAACTATTTTTGACTGCACTTTTATGTTGTATCGTTTCTGTACAACTGATAACAAACGTGTACCTCTATGTATCACCCATCTGTTACATGTTTCCACAGAGATCTCCTACAGGCACCTCAAAGTTCAACAAGCCAAATAAAAATTACTTTGCACTAATTCCAATCCCCCTTCCCAGTTCCCTAATTGCTTGCTTTGTCCTACTCAAATTTCCCATCCAGACAATCAACTATACCAAAATAATCCCTCAAAGTAAGTATATTTCCTCTGATGTAAAAAGGGCCCTCTTCCCGAGCTAGAAAATATGCTCAAATCTGTTTAAAGTATTCTCCTAAACTGTTCTTCATATTTCAACCAATTTTTCAAGTAATCCATTCCCTTTCTTCCTCATAAATCTGAATTGCCATGATCTCACTCTCTCCCTCACACACACACTGGCATCTTGAATATATTGAACCTTTTCCCACCTCAACTGTCTATTCTACATCTCTTTACACCCCTACTTGCCCTACCTATCCCCTTTTTTTTTTTCAGAATCAGGGATTGAACTCAGGCCCTTGCACTTGCCAGGCAAGTGCTTATTCTACTGAGCCATCTCCCCCGCCCCATACCTATCCCCTTTTTAAGACAGGGTCTCACTATGTAGCTCAGGCTGGCCTTGAACTGGAGAGATCCCCCTGCGCCAGCCTCCCAAGTGATGGGATTACAGGCATATGCCACTGTTACATATCAAATACTTTTTTTTTTTTTTTTTTGGTACTGGGGATCGAGCTTGGGATCTTCCACTTGTCAGGCAGGTGCTTATTTGGCTGAGCTATATCCCTGGGCCTGTCGACTTTTTTCAAGGCCCAACTCAATGCTTTGCCCAACCCCATGAAGTACTGTGGCCTGAATTCAAGGCCTTTGAAATGGAGTTTACATCTCCCACACCTCTTTAAAAAAGTTATTTTGAAGTTGGGGTAGGGGCACATGCCTATAATCCCAACTCTCTGCAAGGCCTAGGATTACTGTTTGAAGCCAGCCTGACCTATACAGTGAGACTATCTCAAAAATTCTTAAATTTTGAAATAAGGTGTTGCTCACGACTGAGCTTGAACTTGAGCTCTTGCTACCTCAGCCTCCCAGCACTGAGATGCACCAGCACAAGGGGCTCATATGGCTCCCAAATGTTTTAAATCAAGTACACCAGGCAAAACAAACTGGCGCTGGGTACAGTGATTCATGATGCCCGTAATCTCACCTATTAAGGAGGCTGAGGCAGGACTGTAAGTAAATCCAAGCCCAGCTGTAGTTACATAGAGACCAACCCCCACACCCTCCAAAAATAAAAAAGGGGGCCTGCGGTGCCGGCCACGCCCCCGGGGCCCCCTGCAAGGTTTGAGACTGGGTGTGGTGGTGTGCACCTAGAATCCCAGTTCTTGAGAGGCTGTAAGCAAAAGGATCACTACAAGTCCGATCTAGTAGTGAGACCCTGAACACCCTGTAGACCCTACGAACCTAAGATACAAAAAATAAAAAAATACTAGGAGTATAGAGGAGCATTTGCCTAGCATGCATGGATTCAAACCTCAGGTTCCAAGAGGAAAACATACACAAACCATCTTCCCCAAACAGTTATCACTGGATCTCCACATTAGCACAGCATGCTAGCTTTACTAATTTATACTAATACATGGAAAGAGCAGATTATATTGTGCTGTGCCCAAAACCTGAACCTAAGAAAATGATTACATGCTTAACATTTCCATCTTTCAGCTTACAAGCCGTTGCAAAGTTTGTATCAACAACTACGTTAAAGTTTGAAAAGAATGGTTCCTATTAACCTTTCGTTTAATCGTTTGCTGCATATTCCTTTCCCCCACCAATAAAGACACTAACAAAATAGCACCAAGACTAATGCGAAGAGCAGCTATGTCTCTATCAATGGCTGGACACGCAGTATCAAAGTGTAACTCATCTCAAAACTTCAGCATAGGGGCTGGTGAGATGGCTCAGTGGTCTAAGGCACCTACTTAGAACAAGGTTAGCAAAACACAGGGACCGCGGTTCAATCCCCCAGCACCACATGCACACACACACACACACACACACACACACACAAATTTTAAAAAAACAATGAGTTAAAACAGTACTCTATTAAAAAAATGGCTCACATGTAATAAGTATTTTCTAGGAAGGAGGCTGAGGCAAAAGGACCTTTTCTAGTTCAGAGGCTGGTCTAGACTACACTTAGACGTTGTATTTAAATGGAAAAAATCCCAAATTATGAACTAAAGAGCCTTAGTTTCCATTCATGACATGGAGGACTTTCAGAGTCACTGATCACCTAATCTTCTAGCTGGGTGTGGTGGCTCACACCTATAATCCCAGCACCTGGAAGGCTGAGGAAAAGGAGGGTGACAAGTTTGAGACCAGCCTGAGCTCTGTAGGGAGTTCATGACTAGGCCTGAACTGCACAGCAAGAGACCCTGTGTATAAAGGAAGATTATTTAAACCTTCTAAATTCTGCAGATGCTATTCGCATAAAGTCAAAGCCAATAAAATGTAAAGTTAAAATCCAATCATACAAAATCATCTCTTGGTCACATTCAAACAGTCATACACAAAGAATCAAGACTAGTTTAAAAGGGGGGAGGGTCAAATTATTATTACTTTAAAATTTGATTACAACCAATTCTGTTGGCATTAAAGTTAGAGGCATTTTAAATTTGAATAATGGCTATATACCAAAACCCACAAATTAAGTTTGGTAAAAATGAGAACAGGAATTTTCCAACAATTACAGATTAGAAGGCAGAAATCAATTAGAGAAACACAGACAAACCCCATGTTTACAATGATTGTGCCACAGATTTTAACTTCAGTAGTGCATTAATAAACCGTTCACATTTAGATCTTCACTTTGAGATTTAACAGCTGTTTCTTAAAAAAAAAAAAAATCTCTTCGTACCTTGTGCAAATAAGTCAGTCTTCCATGTGCCTTAGCACAGTTAAAATTTGTCCACTATATATACAAAACACCTACCACACTGGCAGGGCAAAATACATACTTTCATAACAAAACTATAATGTACCTCTCAAATATGAACAATATACACATAATACATGGTATACAGTATTTACAAAATATAAAATATAATACAAGCTGTATGTAACTCTAAGCTCATCTTTTGCACTCAAATGGTACAAATTTCCACTTCTGTACCACTTTTCTTTTAAGGAGTTCAGGGACTTGGGAAAAACTATGTTTTACATACATACTGAAATCTAAGTTTGAACTTTTAGGAGCGTCTTTAAGTGTACTGCCATCAGCTCCCTGTTTTGGACAGAATTTTCAACAGTGCTTCCCATCCAGTGGCTAGGCGGCTTTGGAAGAACACTAGGAGAAGGCGGGTCACTGAACTTTGCCCCAGCGTAATTTTCCTTTTGGCTCACTTCAGTTGGAAATGCTGATTTCTTCAAATGCGTATTTTTAATGTTTTCTGTATTTTTAAAAGGCTTTTTGTCCTGCTTCTGAATCCTATCAGGCGAAACAGAATCCTGCCAAAAGTTATTCTCATTCCGTTTTGCAGAGGTGATCTTGGTTAGTGGCAAGTTATATTTGCTTTTCTGTCTGTTTATCTTTGGTTGTTCACACAAGTGTATACCATGAACAAATTGGCCGTGGGGAAGGGCAATTTTCTCCGATTTTCCCATCTTTGACTTTAATACCTACAAAGATAAGGAACACAAAAGTGAATACAATTTCAAGATAAAAATTAATGAACTTCACATCATATACCTATTTTTAAAAGCTGTTTCACTTACTGCTAATATGTCAAAATCTGAAGGCTTCGGACCAGTACACAACATGAACTGGTGTTACAAAATTAACTATAAAACTAACCCAGGGGGCCGGGGAGATGGCTCAGTGGAATAAGCGCTTCCCTAGCAAGAGCAAAGGTCTGAGTTCAATCCCCGGTTCCGCCAAAAAAAAAAAAAAAAAAAACTAACCCAGTTCATCTTCTACAACTATTAAGGCAGGGTAAATAAGTTCTCTTCCAAATAAACACCCTATAAGAAACACTGCCCATCTACTCCTTACCACCTGGTTCAACTTCGTTCTTAATCACTTTCCCAAAGGTGCAATCAGATGAGGAAGTTAAGATCATCAACCACTGCCCTTTCAACACTAGAAATGAGGCTGAGGTTAGTAGCACACAAAAAGGCAATGCCCTCCAAGTTAAAAAGGTCAGCTGTAGCACAACTAAGTTTGTTTGTGTGGTTTTATTGTTGTTTTCGTTTGTTTGCTTGGCGGAATCGGGGATTGAATTTAGGCCCTTGCGCTTGCTAGGCAAGCACTTTATCTACTGAGCTATCTCCCCGGCCCCACAACTAAGTTTTAAGTTAAGATCCACTCTAGAGAAGAAAGGAACCTTAATGTCCAGGGAAACAAGTACAGAAAGTTCTCTTAGATTATCACTAATAGTTCCAGACTCATGGAATCCCCCCGCCCGCCAGGGTTCCGCTTGATAAACCGCTCTCAGTCCAATGTTATTTCAACAAATGAAAGTAACTTTTCATGTTTTTATGAAACTAAGTCTCTGAAATTAAAAGTCAACAAACGTTTTAACCAGGTGTGATGGCGCAGGCCTGAAATCTCAGCCCTTTGGGAGGTGGAAGCAGGATGGCAAATTCGTGCCCAGCACTGGCCAAGTCTAGCCTCAAAAAGGGGGGGGGGGGGCGCTGCAGATGAAGCCCTGGGCGAAGGTGCTGGGTTGAATCCCCACTACCACCTTAAAAATCAAAAGCAATCAACCAATAACATAACTCTGATCATGGTTAGGTGTCTTTTGGGAAGGGGGTGGTGGTCTTTTTTGAGACAGGATCTCGCTGAGCTCAGACTGGCCCCGAACTGATCCCCCAGCCTCAGCCTCCGAAGTGCTGGGATTAGAGGCGTGAGCCACCACACCCGGCCTAATCAAGTTAGATTTAATTCTGCTGGAATTTTCACCCATTTTATCCAAATTCAATAGCAACTAGTCAGCAAAACGTCGTTTCAACAGTTCGCTTTCCTAGTGAAAACTTAGGGAGGACTGCCCCTTAGTTCAGTTCTTTAAGTGGCTGCTTCAACAAAGCAGTCAGGCTCAGGTTGCTGTGGTTCGATCCCCACAACTCAAGCCAGCCAAACCTGCCCTGAAGGCATTCGGAACAACAACAACAACAAAAAAAAAACCCTAGTGAAAACTTATTCTGGATCCAACAAAACTACCGGCCATCTAAAAAGCCCAGCCCCGTGCACAGTGGGAACAGCTAAATGCATTCAGTTCCTCTAACAGACTTCGCACACAAAATCCGACGTTTTCCAAGCGTCAGGAACCCGAGAGCCTCTGCCGCCAACTTCGCAGTCCCACGAAATAGGTCAGACCCGCGGCGCCCTGGCCCCTGACAGCTCAGCAATAACCCAGCTACGCGAAGGTGAGCTCCCGCGGCGCCCACCAAGCCCCGCATCAGCCAGCGGTTCGGACCCGGGCCGCCAGGAGCGCAACCAGCCAGCGAAGCTCCGCCCCTTGCCCCTTCCCGGCCACCCCCGCCACCCCCACCGCCTTCATGAGCGCAGCGGCGCCCGGCACGTAGCGCGCTGACGTCAGCCTCCCGCGGGCTCAGGCCCTCCCCCACCCGGCGCGCGCCCGTTACGCCGAAACCCCCTGGAACGCCGCCAGCCTGCTAAATCGGGGCTGTTGCTGGGGCGCAGCCGCTCTTCTCATTGGTCGGCTCGCGGGAGCCAATCGGCAGTACCAGCGCATGCCTGCCTTCCCCTCCCCCTGCAAGAACCAGCGAGCGGGCGTCACAGAAACTTCCCTCCCGAGTAAACAGCCACCCCCCGCCCCAACACCCCCTGACCGACCCCAGGCCGGGCCCCCGATCCCGCGCGGCTCCTACCTCCTTTCTCAGCGGGGCTTGGCTCGGCGCCGCGGGCCGCAGCGGCCCGGGTGCCAGGCTAACTCCCTCAGCTGAGGCTATGGACGCTGGGCCCGGGGCTGAGGCGGCGGCCTGGCCCGGGACCGTCCCCGAACTCCGGCCGCCCTCTAGATTCGGCCGGTGCTGCTGATACTGCTGGAACCGACTGGGCAGCTGCCCCGCCGGGCTGGCTCGCACCTTCTTCTTCCGCCGCTTCTTCGGGGCTGCCCGCGGGGCGCCTCCCGCCACGGCCGGGCTGCTGCAGTGGGGCAGAGCTGCTGCTGGGGCGCGAGGCAGGGGGGCCAGGCAGGGCCCGTCTCCCCCGAGGAAGTGTGGGAGGAAGAGAGTTGGGGGCAGCGTCCGGGGGTCTGGGATCCGGGGTACAGGCGGCGGAGCCGAGGTCACCATCGGGAAGGCCCCGAAGTACCCGCGGGCAGAAAAGCCAAGCGGCGCAAGACGGCTGCTCAAGACGAGCGGCTCCCGCTGCGGGACTGAGACGACAGTCATAGCGCTAGGAGTCAGGAGGCTCGGCAGGAAGAAGAGGAAGTGAAGCCCGTGCTCACCGGGCGGCGGCGGTTGCTGCTGAGAGCCACGGAGGAGCTTGGAACATGACTCGGGCGGAGGCGGCGCAGCAACAAATAGCCCAGGTCTGGGTTCCCAGTGTTGTTATCAGAGGCTCCGCCCCGAGCCCGCCCACCTCCCCGCGGAAGCCCAATCCGGGCGCGACAGAGAAAGCCACGCCCCTGGGGCTCCGCCTCCATGGCCTCGGGAAGAGACGCACACAAACAGCTTACTGCAGCCTGGCACAAAGAGCGCGTACTGCGCAGGCGCTGCCAACGGGCTCTTTCGGGAAGAGTCGGTCCCGTGAACAATGAAGTTCGGTTTCGGCCCCGCCTCCCCCGATCGCGTCTGGCCGGGGCTCGGCGCTTGCCTGGGCCACGCTCCGGCTGAGATGTCGCGGGGAAGGGAAGGCAGGCGAGGCGGGAGGAGGGACTAGGGAGCGACAAGGCTACTGATGCCTGCGTCTCTACTGACCTTGGAGCAATGTCTGCTTTAACTACCTCCCCCCCAAAAAAGCTCCCAAAGAACATTAAGAACGTCTTCCCTATCGGTCGCCAAAATCAGTCTACGTTTGAGCTATATAAATTTTTAGTGAAGTATGTCTCTTTTTTTATTTGGTTCGGCAGCACTTTTCTAGCTCTAGTCATCGGGCTAAGATGGAAAGAAAGACTTGTAATGCGTGAACTGGCTCCTTGAATGCATAAACGGGCTTTAGGATTATTAACGCCCTGAAGCCTTAAAGGATTGTGAGAACTAGGATCGCGCAGCTGGAGGTTTGAGGCAGTAAATGCTTTCGTCACACAGGGAGAAAGTGAAACTGCTCTGAAAAGCTTTGTGTATTTTGTTTGTGAACTCTGGGATGATGGAATTGCCTCATCCTGCCCTACTACTATCACAAAATAATTGTGGCTATCATTTATTACACACTTGTTCGGGGAACTGTTCTTTAACGTAATTTATTTCATTCGAATCTCACCCTAATGAATAGATGCTTTTAACCCCTTTTACAAGAGAGGAAGTTACGACTCATTGAAGCTGAAGAACTTGTCAAAGATCCTGCAGTAATTTAGCAGCTGAATCTGAACACCAGGTCTAGAACACAGTTTAACGTGACACCCACTACCTGCCACACTAGATTGTCAGTTTATTTTTTTTCCAGGTTTTACAGTGGTGATCAGTATTTAAAAACATGTATGGCTGGTAACGAAGTTAAATATCCAGAGTAATGGATCGCAACTCTTCTTCTTCTTTCTTCTTTCTTCTTCTTTCTTTCTTCTTTCTTCTTTCTTCTTTCTTCTTTCTTCTTTCTTCTTTCCCCTCCTCCTCCTTTTTATTAAAGACTCTAGCTATGTAGTTCAGGCTGGCCTTGAACTCACTTTGTAGCCCAGGCTGACTTCAAAATCCCAATGATTCTGCCGCATCAGCCTCCTGAGTGTTGGAGTTACAGGTGTGTACCACCAAGCCTGGCTAGATCTCAACTTATCATAAATTTTAAGTACATTTCACTATGTGATGGCTCAATGGATTTTATCATTTTTGCTATATTTTACTCATTTTTGTCTGGGACAGTACATAAAAATCATGTTCGTTGGGCAAGTGGGAATCATAGTTGCAGAGCTAGTAAAGATCTTACAAAGCCTTTCATTCAGGTCTTCAGACCTGTACATTTAAGTTGGGTTAAAATGCTGTGGATTACAGGAGTACGTGATGCCCACACTGGGCCAGAGTTGAAGAGAAACAGGCGGAAGCCAGGCAAGGTAGTGTATACCTATAATCTCACTGAAAATTCAAACACACCCTGAGTAAACTGTCATGAGACAGCTCAGTGAATGAAAGAAAATCTTTGCTAGTTACTCTTCTAACAGAAGACTAACATCTAGATATAGCAGAACTTTAAAAATTAATCTCCGGGTCAGGAAGATGGCTCAGTGGAATAAGTGTTTCCTTGGCAAGCGCAAGGACCTGAGTTCAATCCCCAGTTCCACCAAAAAAAAAAAAAAAAAAAACCCGTAGGCCAAGCATGGGTGAGGCACACACTTATAATCCCAACACTTAAGAGGCTGAGACAAGAGGATCACAAATTCAAAGCCACTGTAGGTTACATAGTGAGTTCAAGGACAGCTGAACTACATGGTGAAATCTTGTCTCAAAAAAAAACCCCAACAGCTATTTTTTTCTCCATCCGTGGAGCACATTGAGACTGGGCATAGGGGCCGGGGAGATGGCTCAGTAGAATAAGCGTTTTCCTTGCAAGTGCAAAGGCCTGAGTTCAATCCTCCTGTAGGAGTCACTTCCGGGTCCTCATCTCCATCCAAGAAGCCAATATTTGTATTCCCAAAGCTACGTTATTGGAATCCCATCAAGATTCCAATCTACCACTTTCAATGCAACCCACGGTGAAAATAAAGACACTAAATTATATTTGCAATCACTGGGGAGTCAAGGGGCTCTAAGTTCAGCAAGGAAGATGGCTTCCTGGAACACAAAAGGAGTGACCCAGGGCCTCACCGGGTTTTTATTCAGTGGGGGAGTGGCTTGAGGAGGATTGACTGAGAATTGTGGGAAGTAGGTGACCATTGTGAGCTGAGCTAGGTGGGTGGCCTTCATTTACCTCTGCCATATGCAGAGAGGATAT